GCCTTTACTTGGGGGGGGGGGGGAGGGTAACGAAGAAAAAGTAAAATGTTACAGTAACTAATTATATTTTACGGTGATTCCAGCGGTAACAAGTTACTTTAAAGGGGCTTGTACGGAAGCAGTAGCTAGTTCCTTTCCCAAGGAAAATCTCAGTGGCGCTACTTTCTTGATGGCGGACACAATTTCAGATGAAAGTGACTACTAAAGTTGAGTGGCTACTTAGTCTATGAAGGGCCATCTTAACTCAGAGAATTTCTTCCCTTAATTTGAGAAGCAGCTAAGAGCGGGCGCGACACATGCGATTACATCGCATGCTCGACGCTCCGCGCCACCCAAAGGTTTTTACACCCTCGCATGAAAATGCAGAACTGTTTCTTTAGAGTTCCGTCATTTTACACCTTGTGTAGACCCTGAGACATGATGCAAAGCTAGAATGGAGTTAATACGTAGTTTCCGCGTCATTCACCAGAATGTCAGAATGAAGACCAGTTCCAAGTCGACAGTGCTTGGGAAAAGAAACTTGAAAAGTAAAACGTCCTAGTTAGCTATTGGTGAGAAGGATTTATACTCTGAAATTATACTGCTAGGATGGACATACTTGTAATTGCAATTAGATACCTTTAACATATAGCGAGCCCATCACTGTTGAAAGCCTTGTCCAAGTTCAGGGTGTGTTCAAAAGAAAGAGATGATTACAGCCAAGGTCGGACTGACGACCTAGGGGTCCCCCAGGGATATTGCTGACAAAGGGTCTCCCTCACCCCATAATGAAGAAAAAGGGGCCCCTCCGCACCCGGTGCGAGGGCACTTTGATCTGGGGGATCCCCCGGGAAATTTCCGGTATCCCGATGGGCATGTCCTACCCTGATTGCGGTACAGCTTCGTCTTTCCATATTTATTATTGTTGAAATATGAACAAGAACTGGTATTAGAACTGCAAGTTCAATGGGAAAGGCTTATTTTTTCAAACGAAGAACAAGGACTGACAGTTTTATTTTTATCCATATAGGCGATAATTAAATCAGCATTCATAATGAGTTTGAAGTCTGAGGAGGGTTTGCCCACCTAGCAAACAGTTTCGATGTGGATGCAGGAGATTCGAGAGGGATAGCCAAATTCCTCTTTCGAAAAATTAACCGTGTTCAATCAGTTCATCCAACCTCTTTTAATCCTCAACTTCAATTCTTCCATGGATTGCAGGAGAGAATTCATCCTGATGTGAACGTTTGGATTGAACAGATATCCAAGTGGATGAGATGCAATGAGATATGAATCGTCTTTTTTTAACCTTGACGAAAAAGAGTGTCTGTCGGAATTTTGTTTGCTTTTTAAGGAATTTGCTCGTCAGGATCAAGAAACAATGAAAGAATCAAACTTCAAGGAAACTCTCCTGCCGCCCTCAAGGGCATTATCAGGGCTGCCTGACTGGACTGATGTACTTATATAACAGTTGAAAAACCGGTTCAACCCGAATAGTTAAGCTTGTGGTTGGCTGCGACGTCACTGACGCGTCACGCACAGGAGCAAGCTTCAATAAACTGGAGGAGTGAGTGGATGGAAACAGCCGTGTGATACACGATGCCGACGTATGATAGGAGATCTATTTCTATGTGAGGGCTTTCTCGCGTGTGGTTCTGGTGCACACGTTTCATCCTTCCGTATGCATCCATCCATCATATTTCGTTTACATCATGTCATTTACATCCTTTCCTTCCCATGGCCAATATTAACATCGCACCATTCTTGTGCTACGCTTCGGGTAGGACCTAGGCTTATCTAGGCCATGCCTATAGAAGGTGAACATGAACTCCTTGGTAATTCCTAACCTAATGTAGGAGAAGACACATAGAGACGATCTTAAGCAGTTATCTAGGAAAAAATGCATCGGATGTCATTGACAAAGAAAGGCTTGTAAAGTAGGCCTTGGCCTACTTCATCCTTAAGTGCAATTTGGACAGTGGTACTAATGTTCCATATCGTTAGACCTTTTCTAAAAACTGAATGGTTTTTAAATATTTTATTGGGATTTTTATTATATGTGCAAGATATACGATAGGATAGTGTAGAACACTATAGATCATTTGTTAATATGGGCTTTAACAGTTAGTCAGGTAATGACGTTGAGCTAGGTTAAATGGTATACTGTAATGGTATATTGCTACTTTTTTCACTTTTTTCCTTTGTGATTTCTTGGCCTTTCACCAGAAAGAGACAGTATTAACTTCCCATTCAAGGAAAATGAGAAGTCGGTGTAATTACTTAAGGTTTGGAACCAAAGGCCATAAATGATACACCTCCTTGCTCCTGGCTCTATGTGAAAGGAATGCAGTTCTTTCATCTGCATTAAACATTTCTTCCATGACTTGCTTAACCCTATCCTGTTATGTCCAATGTACTGGATAGAATGCAATCTAGAGTGAAGGATCATACACATAAACTGCTGCTTTTTAGTTAAGTGTATGGACAAAAGAGGCTACAGCATCACAGTTCATGTTTTAAGATTGATTTTTATCCACCTATGCCCATAGCTTGGTGCTGTTGTCAGTGGTGCTAGGGAGACACCTAGTAATCACAACCTTCAATAATATCAGTTTTGTTCTATCATGAAGTAAGCCAACTAAGGCAATAGCCCTACTGAATGAGGGAATTGCTACTTCATAACTCAAAAGTAGAGCTCAGGAAAGGTATAATGCACATGTAAACAGAGTAAAAGTCAATCCAAAAACTTTACCACTTCTCCTGATTTTGGTCCATGGAATGCTTGGAGTGGTTTGCCCTTGCCTATTAGCCATGTTGGCATAATGATAACAAGGTCTTAACATTGAAAATTTGATCATATTATAAAACCAGTGATGTCTCAAGGCAACCCCTGTCATCCCCCTCCATGTAACAGAAATCAGTGTCAAACTATTTTATTATTTTGGTCTGAAGAATGACACCTCAATTAATAGTGATGTAAGCAGACCTAAGGTTTGGGGAGGATTTTCTGTACTTGCCATCCTCCCTCTCTTTTCCCTTTGGGTGCTGACAGGGTATAGCAGGCATACTTGGAAAAAGTTTTTACTTGATGCAAGCAGTGTGAGGTTGATGGCAAAATTGAGTTTACTTAAGATGTGATATTTTTAAATTTAACATTTGATACCTTGCTCTTTTCCATAGGAAAGGCTAAAACTTTTAACTAAACATGTGGTTTAGTTGCAAATTCATTCATTTGCACACACTGATTCTGCAAATTCTTTAGATGTTCCTCAAATTCAAGACTTTCATTAAAAGATTACATTGAATGCAGCACACTAGCACATTTCTAGTTTCTGTGAGAAAAGAGTCAGCATTTATCATTAAGAAACTGGAAATGAGAAAATCTACATGAGTGTGTGTCTTCTGAAATTTCAAGGAGCTGTGCACTGTGGTTGTTTTCATGGGGCCTTTGCAGGTAACATTCAGATTGTACTATTGTAGTTGCATGGTATTGGTACAGATAAACTATAAAAAATATGTGAAATGGGGTGGAAATATCTGTCATACCCACTTGAGAGGTTAAG